GGGGGAGACGAAGTGGGGGGGGGGGGAGACGAAGTGGGGGGGGAGACGAAGGGGGGGCAATGAGGGAAGGGTTGATGAATTCTGGAGATCTTACAGGCTGAAAAGCCTTTATACTTTTTTTTTTACTTCGCGTGCTGCTCCTCGATGAGAAAGGAAACGTCTTTTAGTGATGACGTCAGCCGTTTCTTAGGGCTCATCATCAAATGAATTTCCTTCGAGCCAGAGAAGTTCCCCTGTTTCGTGAGCTGAAATGAAAGTGCTATCCCTGGTGAAGGAGAAGAAGGGAAATCGTTGGGAGGGGGGAGAGAATCAATCAGACCTTCGAACTGCCTCATATTTCCTCCTTCAGAATTCTCAGCGTCCAAAGGGAATGCGTTTTACATAAAAGAAAATATCGGATGACGCAGGAAATATACGGTAACGCGAACGATAGCTGTCAAACGGAAGATACGTGAAATGCGACGACCGTCGATGGAGGCCAAGGCATCGAATAGCACTCGAGACAAGTCACGTTAAGAATTTGTCATGCGGAAAGTCATAACTGATGTCTCCTGTATGGATCAAACAGCTTCCAAACGGCAGAGAGTAATGCCCCTCAAGAACAAAAGAACTGGGAGGATGCCCAACCCCGCCATTGCCTCACTTATAGCATGACTAAGTTCTGGCCTGATTCCGGTCGGATTCTGGCCAGATTCTGGCCTGCTCGCGCCTGGACCATTCGCGGTGACGGCAGTTTTCTCCCTCTTTTCATCTTCGGCTTCCAGGACGACTTTTTTTTCTACTGCAATTGTATTCGGTCGACGTGCTCATAGAAGTAAGTGGTCTCATTTCCTCGACTCGACAGCAGCACAAATCCGGCGACTTCTGCGTTCTGGAAACGTGCCCCGCGTGGCAAGCAGTTACGTGGTCCATTCCCCCAATACGGCAAAACTCGTTCACCTGCGAGCACTTCGAGGCGGTCTCGGGCTGCTTTTCTGGATTCGTCTGGCGTCGTCGCGATCTCGTTACGCGGGTGGATCGAAAAAGGACAAAGGCAGACCCGAAAACGAGGCTTACGAAATCAGAAGGCGTGACAGGAGTTCTCCGCACGAATCTCTATCTTTCTGCCTGAAATCCTCCTCTTCCGAGCGACAATGAGACGCTCCGGGGAAGCCGGAGATAGAAGAAGGAGGAGGTCCCAGGCATACATGCCTCCTCTTCATCCCCAGGGATCATAATGACGGCGGCTATCGAATCATTCTTCCCTCGCATCTCACACTCGGGCTGTTTCATTCTCTTTTTCGTGTTCCTTTCCTCGGGAGCCTTCGATTTTCGATGTGGAAGGTTATTCCGACCTGGCTTCATTCCAGGCACGTATACTTCTCAGAACATCCCCGAGGAGAAATCATTCATAGAAATCCTATGCGAACCCACTTCGATTCTCGTTCCCATCATCCCCTTAACGGGAAAACATTTCTCGACGACTGCACGAAAATTCCATATATCGACGGAGCCGCGTCAACACCGTTAAACTTTTAATACCCGAGTCAAAAATAGGCAACATTGCCTCTATAAATAGACGAAATGCAGAGGTGTTCTGCGTCTCATCGACTCACCCGACCGAAGAAGGAAAAGAGAGGGACAAGACTTCACGAGAGGAGACAAGAGAAGGAGAGCACCGAGGCTTGCCGAAGGATCTAATTATCCCTGGCTTCTAGGAGGAACTCGGATTCCTCAAGGTCTTAACGGTGGGCTCTCGCATTCGCTTCTCAATGTGTTGTTAACGAAATTCTGGTGACCGGCAGGGCATGTATCATCTTACGGAGGGAGAAGGAATTTTGAGCACAAAAGGAACGCTGATGATCCCAGTCGGACACCGTGGTCTATTATGGAGCGGGCGGGTCTTTTATACGCATTTGGAGAACCATCGGAGGGTGAAGAAGAAGAGGAAGACGTGCTTGGGGTTTCTACCGACCTGGACTAAAACTAACGAGGAGGTCAATCGAAAATCTGTCATTCTATATGCATGCCACGTTCCGATCTTCCCTCGAGCTTTTCTGTTTTCCGTCTCTGGAGCCCACGCCGCTCCAAATCGAATACGCCGCCCCGACCATCCACTTCCGGTCTCTTCGCGAGGGCCTCTGCAGTCGTTCTCGGTTACCCCGACAGAAATTCGATATCCGCGACCGCGCAGCCCAATCCAGCATACCTTAAGGGAAGCCCCATTTGTGAGAATCGTGGCCGAGGTTCAATATGGGGCGAATTAGGAGCGGCGGCTCGTGTGGGCGGAAGATGATGGATGGAAGAAGGATTCCCTACAGTGGCCCGGGAGAAGTGCGTGAGACGTCAATCCTTTTTTGGTGAAATGGAAAATATTTTTCTTATTTCTCGTCACTTTGTACAGGAAAAATTCTCGATCCGTAAAAACTGCGACTTGGGACAGATGTTGACCTGCAGATTATTGCTGCTGGAAGCGAGATGATCTTTATCGCAAAAAAAGATAACTTCATTTTCAGCAGCAATAAGTTGCAAGACGAAGTCTGTCCCAATTAATTAAACTTTGAGAAACGCTAGAACTAAAATGTTCATTTGGTTGAGCAGGTTCATTTGGTTGAGTCTCTGTAGCAAGAAAGAATAGCTGAAGAATCACGCCTTTCTACTGACAGATCTGGCATTCCTCTTCGTGGATTACTCGCGTGTCGGTGGATTACTAGCGTATCTGCGAGGCTTTAAGAGGGAAGACTTGAAGAGTAGAAGAGGGATTAAGGAGTGAAAGGGAGAGCGGTAGGACCTAAGAAGGAACTGCGCATTCTCCTTCATCCCCCCCCCCCTCTACCCCCCCCGCCCCCCCCCCCCCCCCAACCCCTCGCGCTGGCCCCTGCATCATTCTCTCCCCTTCAAATCGAAGCTGATCATCTGCTGTACGGAGCGGTATTCCATGCAGGGGTCTTTTCCCGATCTCCATGATCTCCATCACAAGGTTAGTCGACTGTTTCGAGATCTGTAGAGTAAGTTCAGGTTCCTGTATTCGCTTAAAAGTCGATGCAGGCTTAGAGCTCGTCAATATAAGAAGACGAGGGAAAATATTCTAATTAAATAGCAACCAACACGCAAGCAGTCGTGTTCAAATCAACGAACCGATTGCATCCACGCACGATATGAGTACGAGTTGATATGCATCAACTGCATTCAGGCTTGTCGTGTCGAATATTTCAAAATATAATTTTCTTACATCCCGAGATATCTTCGACATTTGAAAGAAACTCGTCCAAAATGCGCGAAAACAGAGATATGCGAATAAGAGGTTCCGAATGATGAAGTTTCCTTGAATTCCATAGAACTGCGAGCGAAAGCTTTCAAAGAGATTTAGAGAACGATAGGATTACTATCTTGAAAATGGTAACAATTACGAGTGGAGTCGGTCGAGCAGCCTCAAAGTGGATCGGTTTCTATGCTTGAGAAATCCGCCTCGGGAAGGCGAGTGTGTGCGGCTTTCGAAGCGATAGAGGAAGGAGCAATAAGCAGCCCCGGAAAGTGACGGAAAGTCGGTCTGCAGCCGACCACAGAGCGAGTGGCTCTTTCAAGAAGCCCGTCGGACCGACTGGGGATTGTTCAGCCCCAGACAAAAGTGGTGAACGGAGATTATACTGTCGGTACGTCATCTCATTAAGAGTTGAGTGACGTGAATAGTAGAAAATAGCTCAGGAAGGGATTTTAAAGAGCCGGTCTTCTCTAGGGCTGTACCTATGCATCGGCAACCACTGGCATCGGCCATCGGCAGGTTTGTTAACCGCCGGTGCCGATGCCCAAAGAAGAAGAAAAAGTATGTGAACGGGACTCGATAAATGATTCTCAACGGCGATAGGAAAAAAAAAGGAACCGTCCCGATGTATCCATGTATCGATGTCATTTCCAATAGCTGGAGGCATCGTCTGTTTTATTATCCGTCGCAAAGGTCGTACCTCCCCCCCGCCCCCACTCCCCGATCACAGACGAAAGATGATGGAAGACGGAGAGAGGTCCGCTCCGTGATCGAGGCAGAAAGTGAAAGCTCCCGCTCAATCGCAACGAGAAATGATTGAATCCTCAGACCCCTCCCCCTCCTCCCTGTGCATTATCGATAGTTCAGGTCGATACAACGATGTTTTCGAAACTGACATTGTGACAGCCTAAAAAAAAATAGAACATGGCTTCTTAATGGGTCTATATCAATAAATATTTGATATCATGGTTCCTTACCACTACTTTACATGCGACCATCGGCATCGGCACCCGCCGATGAGTATGAATCGCCCCATCGGTAAAATGTGGCCATCGGCACAGCCCTACCTGCAGACACTTGAAAACGAAAACTAAGGGTAGGAAAGAAACATACTATAGAGATCTGAACTTCATATTCTTCATATTCTCTTCGGATATCGATGTTTCTCGGAAATGGTAGCCCGAAGAACCGAAAGAAGAGCCAGGTCCCGCATTTTTCAATCTCATCTTGGCTGGGTGTCTATCAATGACGTCACTCTCAGTTTACAGTGGCATGATGGCATGAAAAGTATAATACTTCAGCAAGCAGTTCACTGAAATAAAAGAAAACCAGTTTTGCTCGAACGATTCAACCGCATTCAAATCAAGGCTGCTGAAAAAATGAAATCAGTTTTAAGTTGGACTAGTGCGAGATGCTGCTCATCTCCATAAAGGCTCACGATGAAATCAGATTCACTTCAAGTTGAATCTGATTTCATTTCACAAGTTGAATCTACCTAGCACATATCAAGCCCAAATAAGCATCAAAGAGCGAAGCTGGGATTATTTCCCAGATATTATTTCTAGGATGGGAGTATTTATGATTACGCTTGAGCCAAGGACACTTTTTTAAATTTAAAAATTGTATAAAAGTGGTTCTCAATGCATATTTTTGTTCCGTTCCGCTTGTGCGAACATTTTAAACCGCTCGTGGTCCAGCTTTCATAAGGTGCCTTGCGAAACACTGTCGTCTGCATTGGCAGGTAGTAGACAATGAGAGGCAGTGGTTACTATTTTTCAGGAAATGAGAATAAGAGTCTTCCATGTTTGACTGATGCAATAACAAAAGCCTTTTGCCTTTGTTATTGCATCAGTCATATATTGCATATATATATATGGAAGGAGAGTTATTAGAAAGGACATGATCATTGCTTTTGGCATTGTGTTACTGAACTTATCGAGTGACTGTACTCGTTTCTTGCTAAGAAATTGCTTTACGTTTTACGAGAATCAACTAGCATGAAACGTAATTGCAGAGAACTCAAAGGCAACAAACTACACCTGCTTCGGCGAAATTTCCTTTGATAAGCCACTATCTCGCTTCGTTTGCCATACACAGAGAGGCAACATGATTTGCGTGTTCCTCTGGAGGATTGGATTGCCTAAGGACGGTATCCCGTCCTTACACAAATGGGGTGATTCGTTAGCAAGAGCAATTAATGCTGTCGAATTCATTCTAATCCTCCGCCTGTATTCAGCTGCTGGAGCCATCTCGGTCATCGGACTTGGAAGGAAGAACCCTCGTGTTTGTCCCCGTTGATAACTGAGGTCTCGTCCGGCAAGGGTGGCGTTTCCTCTGCTTTTTTTCCTGATGTGCCGTGGTCGATGTCATTAAGTTATTTCTCAGAACGGAAGGAAAACTCCACCGAATCAACATTTTTGCACTGTGAGAAGTGCACAATGCCGGACGAAGAGATGATAGAATTATTAATATATAAAACGCTGTGATTGACAACAAATTCCTGACAGCCACAGAGGAACCATGTGATTTCATCGACAACGCCTGCAAACATTGCCTTGAATATTGCCATCACGGAATTCACTCTTGTGAGACGTCGTTACCGAAAGGCTCGGAAGCGGCTGACGTTATGAGCCTGCTATGAGGCAAGAAATCAGATTTCCCGTAGGATACGTTTCTGTAGCCTGGGAAATCCTCCTAATGGGAACCTCCTAATGCTCTGTCCCAACTAAGACTTCAAGGTACAAGGTTTAAGGTTCAGGTGGGGAAGTCAAGAGGCATTTCTGCTAATGTCCCGACATGGGGTGTCCTATCCCATGTCGGGGTCAAGACATGAAATACGAGTAATGGGAACCTGCGCAAGGACCATTTCCCTCAGAAAACTAACAGCGTAAAAATGGAAGGAGTGATGGAGTGCATCCGGAATGACGCGTCAAGAATCTTCCTGACAGCTAATGGCGGAGATCCCCCCTCCATCTCTGGGGCTGACGCTGAGTGACAGATCTCTTTTGGAGGTCACGGTCGGATATGCCCAGCGAGACGGTTGCCGCATGGAATAGCCAGTGGAATGGCCTTGAGAAGCTCCTGACATTAGGCGGGATCGTATGATGTAGCGCATTCCCGCGAGTGGCTACTGTTGTAGGATGGGCATGTGAAACTACACAGTCTTCGAAAGCTCCAGACATGGAGGCGGATAGTGGAGAATTGATTTTGAAGTCACAGCTAGTTATTATTAATACTTTTCTTCAGTATTCCAGGAAAAACATTGTCGTCCACATAAAGATTTTTCTAGGCGAAACATCCTTTTTAAATCTGACAAAGAATAACCATTAGCAATAGGGAACGTCTTATGTTCTGTAATCGGTAGACATGACCTCGCAAACATTCTCTGTTGGGCTGAGACCCTGCAAAAGGTATTCTAATAATGATTTGCTGGATGTGATTTCGATAGGTGAGGTATTACGAGAATGGGCACCTGAACAACCGAAGGCGTTGTAAAACGATGCCTCTCCTGCATATACCCTTGTGTAAAAGCCTCTCTCCGTTGCAGTGATTTTTATTTTTCCAGGAGAGGAGCGCACAAGTTCGAATTTCTTCCTCTGTAGGAGTTATAATAATAGAACTGGATAATCCTGTAAACTTGCTCCCTCCAAGACACCTGAGAGCACCTGCAGTTCCTTCATTTTCAATTAACAGAGTTTACAGAAGTTTCCTGCGCTCTCAGGAGGAAAATTCTGGGAGAGTTTCCTGGAAAGAAAGATTCGTCTCGGATGCTAGGGGCGTCCATTGAACGCAGTCCGTCTTCACCTCCGTGAACGATGGAATTGGGTAGATGCCAATACTCTTTATTCGATACGATTGATAATAAATGTGCTACCCCACTCCTGCACTTTTTGATGCTAGGGCATGAGGTGTTCGATTCGCGGAAATGACCGCGTTTTGCTTGCTCGAGCCCCTCTAGGGAACATGGTTTAAAGTGGTTTCTGCGCCTCCTCTTCAGAAAGTGCAGCATATTGACCACACCCTATTTTTTCCTCGAATCTGATTTAAAATTTTTCATTTGGGGTTGAGGTTCACTTATGCACCAGCAACGTCTGCTGTATGTATAAACGTGGAGGGGGAAGGAACAAGGACGCAAAACGAGCCCAACCATTGATCGATCTCATCGGCAACAAACCCGATAGTAGCACCAGTACAATGGGGGACTGGTTCGGGTAGCGTGAGTCTCAATGAAGAGACAAGTTGCGAAAGAACTTCTTAACTTGTTGAATAGAGTATAGGGTATGGCGAAAAAGGTGAACGACTTTAACCTTAAGGGAGAAGGTCGTGGCTATCTTGTTCGTGTAAAACTCATCACTTTTAGGTTCAACTTTTTCCAGGAATATAAGAGATGGGCGGATATATCCTTTCATATCTCCTCCGCAATAGAGATATTTTGGCGGAATTTTTTTGCTATGCATATACTTGCATGAGTATCTTCCCGACTGATTCTTAATATTTTCCTCAAATTTCTCCCAAAGCAACGCTATCGGCGGTTATTGAAAAGACGCCAGACATCGAGAATGGACAAGAAATATTCGAGCGCTGTCCTTCCTGGACATCAAGACCACATCGAACTCCTCTGACATTTAAATTCATTCATATATGAATAAGGGCTGGATGCCTCTTTTGATGGTTTTCATGAGTTTTTTCTCAATGAATAGCAGATGAATCGATGAATATCAATCCCGAAATTTTTCTCCGATTTTTATTTATTTAGAATTTCCTCTGGTTTACGTCAGTCTGAGTCTACAGGGTGTGACAAAAATGATCAACGACTTTGAGTGTATCTCATGATTGTTTGAGTCATATCTCATCAAATTTGCTGCGGATGTAGCACGTTTTCATTTACTTGAAAGCCAACAATGCTGCAAAAATCCATTAATTCAAATAAACTGAAAACGCTGACAAGTTTGACATTTGAAATGGACTGTTCCTTCAAAAACCAGCCTACACAATTAATGAATTTAAATGGAAAAGAAGTTTGACTCGGTCTTGATGACCAGGAAGGACAGCGCTGGAATATTTCCTCAAATCCACAACCAGGAGAAGCTCTCGTCCATTCTCAATGTTTAATTTATCAATAATTGCGGATAGTACTGCGTTGGCGCAGCAAATTTGAGTGAAACTTTAAGAATCAGTCGAAAGCATGCTCATATATGCCAAGTGAAAGTTTCGCGAAAATTGCTATCGTAAGCGGAGATGATTTTTTAAATATTTTTTACCGGAGGTATTAGGTTAAAAGTCGGTGGTCCTTTTCCTTGCCATACCTTGTATTTGCGGAACCCGTCTGGCGAAGATGTAACGGCTGTCCCATCCTGGAGATCTATAGTTTTCAAAAGAGTTTTGGCATTTTTCTAGATAAAAAGAAAAAGAAGCAAGGTCACTGCAAAAAACTAGAGCTGAATGAGACGCTCCCACCTAAAATATTTATCGTTAATGTCATAGATGTACTGTGAATGGGCCCTCGACTTCGACTCGGAATGCCAACGTGGGCAGAAATGCCTCTTGACCAAACCCTGGACGTCGGGAAGGGGAAAAAGGAAATTATGTATGAAAGGAATGCCTATTCCGGGCCTTGTTAATAATTAATACCCCCAAGACATAAAAGCAAATATGGTTTACATTGTCCTGGCAGGGAGTGAGAGTGGGGCCTGTTTACTGATGCATTTGTTTCCATAGAAACTCCTGAAACACAAATGCCTGATAGATAGTCACGCGTTTACGCCTACACATTGAGTAAACTTATCCAAAACTCAGTCAACTTTTTCAGTTAAAATCTTGACTACAAGATATCTTGTCATTTTATCCTGCATTTTAAAAGTGAATTTCGAATAGCGAACGTAGAACCCCTTACAAAACGTCCACCCCCTATCCACCTGGCTGAACAACCAGGTGGATAGGGGGTGAATTTGGAACTAAGTGGACGTTCCCTTGGTGGAAATCAATCTAGCCATTCGCGTGCATGTATTTCGAGACAGGTGGATTTTCCCTCCCAAGTAGATTTTCCCCAGGGTGGACATCGCTCAAACAGGTGGAAATGCCGGCAATTAACCTGGTCCCTAATCCACATGGAAGGTAGACGTTTTATGAGGAACTAAGTAGACGGATTCGCAAGGCAAGGATTTACGTACTATACAGAAGGTGCAATATTGCTCATTATTACATGTTGGTGAGAATGCCTGAGAAGGCATGGTGAGGGATTCATGTCATTTTATCAGATGATTCAGGGTAAAGCTCTATGGGATTTCCAAGTCCGTGATGAAGATAGAGTGTGTAAGATGAAGGCCATAGCGAAAATGACGTTTCGCAGTCGGAAGAGAAAGCAGGTCTCCCTGGGGATAGAAAATTATAGCCGCTTCTGATTCCCCGCTTCCAAACTGAGAGGCAATGATCGAAATGGGGATCATAAATCAGAATTAGACGAGATATCACCTCGGAAAAATAATCGTGGGCGAAAATGGACCTTTTCCATATCGTTTCTCACCCTCAAAACTCTGGTTCACGCTCACACATGAATCCCAAAACCGGAAAATTTCCTCGTTGCTTCAAGGTCTCTTAGGACAGCTTCGCGAAAGCACGATCGAAAAACAATTCGATTTCCAGGGTCCAATTGATGGACTGGGTGACGGCTACATTCAATAGCACCTACTCCGGACTCTGATGAGGGATTCAGGCTATCCGGACGTGCAATTTGTCTTAGAGTAAAAAAAATCGACCGATATGAACAAATGAGATTCAGTTCTTTAACCAATCCACTGTTTAAATAAATCATAAAACTGGTTTATTTAAACTCATCAAATGAGTATAAGCCGCATGAGGAACTGAGTTTCTTTTATGATCTGTGCTCAAAAGTACCTGCAATGAAGCACTGAACAAATAAGCTAGATATGAACTGGTCCCTGACTGGGGGTGTTAATTTAGGAGTTGGATGACTGAATAAGAATTCAAGCACAAAAACATTTTTACCACAGAAAAACAAACCAGTTGTCCTACAAGAACAGTTGGATCGACTTAGACAGCTGATGTAGCGATCGACCTCTCTCTTCTTCGATGGCCACATAATGGCACTGGTAATCCTGTAAAAGTCTTTCCATGAAGCTCTGAACGACATTTGAAAACGTTCCAGATTCATCACCTTTCTGTTGCAAAACAGGACATTCCTAATAAGAGGGAGAGACACGAATAATTGTGCCTCACGGAGAGAATGAAGGCATTTTGTCAGTTATTTTTTTAGACTGATTTAGTCTTATTTTTGAGAGAGAAAGAAACAACCATTTTTAAAAATTATTTCCTGAGCAAAACGTTTAGACATCAATAGCATGAGAAAAACATGTTTATTTCTTTCCGTATTTGTTAACGACGATTTCTTTAAGCTTAAAATCTCCTTATATTGTCATTCGAGGAATAAATGGGTCCTTTGCTGGAATCGCCTCTCGCTAGAGGATGACGATGTCTTATGCCATAGCAAGAGATTCTTCTCTGTTTTTTTTTTTGGCTGTGGCCATGATCCCACGAAATTCTTTCTCCATATTGAATCGAAAGGGACACCTAAAGTTTTTCATTCGGTTCGTCCTTCTCTGCGTCTTCAGGCTACAGTGATTTCGCTTTCCCCAAGGAATCGATAGGGCTGTGTGAACGAATTGACTAATGATTTCTCTCCTTGGCCCGAATTGCCATGTGACGAGGCATGGGGTAAAGCAAACGGAAGGGAGACAGACTCTATGAACTCATATTGACTCAGACAACAGGCTTCATCTCATTCCTAGATTTTTCCCTCAAAGAAGAGAGAATTGGGGTCAACCGGATTCATTGGCTTCAACCGGATTCAACATTGGATCCTCATTATCATTCACCTATATGGAATAATAAGGCCTGTTTTCAGCTTCTCATGGATCTCATGCATAATCTGTGCCACGTCATTACTCGGAGAGGGTTAATGCAGACAGTCCCACAATGAATTATCCTCCTTTGATGACTACCCAAAACGAAGCAAACCATCGTTCCGAAGTGGGAGAAAAAGACCAATTTGGCTACGGAATGAGGTTTTGTCAATTCCGTGGTGAAGAAGAGACAGGAGATAAGGACTATTTCTTTGGTGCTACCCGGTATAATATATCATCTTCCATCGGCAGATGAACGGGAGTTGGTGTGGTGGAGACGACTGCGACATCCCGAGGGTGGGAGATAATGGATCGTCATACGATCCCATTCCCACTCTCCCGGCTGATCTCCAGTTCAACGATACTCACATGATCCAGATCGTTTGTGGCATCTTCCTCATCACCTTCTCAGGAATCGGAAACATCTTCGTGCTCTTCAATCTCAGGTCAGTTTCGTTGTCAAAATAATAATAATAATAATGCACTTTTATTGGCAAACGGTTAGAAGATGAGAGCAGACGCCATCACTGCCTTCGATGTGAAAAATAAATTCCTGTTTCGCCCAGGACAAGGAATACCAGCTTTTTTGGGTCATTCTCGTGGTGATGAGTGGATTTTGCAGAGTTCCACAGAACATGGCGCAAACAGATCTCTCTTACGTTAGGTTCGATGAACCTAAGACTCCAGGAGAGGTTGAGTCGTTATCATGTATTGAGTGAAGGTATGCTGTATGAATATAGGATGCCCTTTAGAGCACCTCCTTGTGGTCATCCCAAATATGGGCCATGGATCAATAATCCATTGTGTTCTGAATCTGCCCACTGCGTCCTGTGTGCGCCCTAGACGGCTGAGTTCCTCAAGTTCTTAGGAACAGAAGGAGCCATCAAGGAGCTATTCTTAGGTTGGAGGATAGCTCCATCGTAAGGGCTTTTCCCATCTTGTCAGCACTAGTCACTTTTCGGGAGTGAGTAGTGCTCATAGTAAGTCTTGGGTAAAGAATGAGAGAGATAGAATGCCCTCAAGGATCCTTCTTTTTAATAGAGGCGGGCCTTTAAGACCAGATGGGAATCTGTCTCTGGATATTTATTTGAGGATTTTTTAAGATAATATGTGAGAGAGCTGAAAATTTCTTGGCCTAACTAGGAATGGAGCATTCAAAATAGCGCAATACATTTTTTGAGTGCAAAACAATTTGTTGTGTCGGTTACTAAGTTTTGTTGAAATATTTTTTTTTCTTCTCCCACGCATTTTGATTCGAGGGAGATCACATATTTGTGAAAAATGCTCCCGCACACACGTCAATCCTACCATGGAGTACTATCGAATACAGTGGCTTTCAATTGCTTGTCCACCCACCTTGCTCGCCAGATTTAGCCCCTTCTGAGTTTCACCTCATACTTCATATGAAGAAGCACCTTCGTGAAAAAAATGTAACGAAAAAAAATACAATCGATTTGGCTACCCTTAATCATTTTCCGTGTTCCCTCTCAAGATCAAATAGGTTGGGCAGGGTAAGGTCGGGCCGAAGGAAATGAACTTCCAATGATGCATCGTTCGATCGGAAGGATTCAATTGCATTGCATTACCCACAGATTTCGATTCTTGGAGACACAAATTGCAATAAGACATATCGGAGGCGTTCGTGGTCGTCCAAGGAAGGATACCTCCGTCATGATTATACACATGAAGTCTTGCCTTTGTGGCGCTTGGTGCGCTTGATTGGCTTCGTAATGACGAAGATGAGGAGGGTCTCGGGGGAAGGAGCGTGATAGGAAGAGAAAGACTAAGGTAATGGAGAGGAAAGTTCTCCCTCAGGACACCCCCGAAAATGAATCTGATCTTTGGTGTCAAGCTCGTTCATTCTCCCCTCCTGCCTGGCGGAATTCCTTGCCTGCTCTTCCAAGCTCCGCAAATGAACCTGTAATGAGACTTCTTTCCTTTACTTTGCGTAAACCCTCATTCCCCAGGAGAGAAGTAAAAGGAAATCTGAGGCTACGTAGATTGGGGCAATTATAAAAACAAGATTTTTTTGGTCTTTCCTTCGATTCTTCTTCAAGTAAGCTTGCATGGACCTGCTCTTCAAAGGCCCGGACATCACTCTGTTGTGATCGAGCACGCGTAAACGTTATCGGCATATATGACAGGGGAAGGAAAAAAGAGACGGGGAAGGGAGAGCCTTCGTCCGTGTTCAAGAGAAGGCTATGTTTGGATGAGGTCCAAGAAGGAAGAGATTCAGCCTCGAGCTTTCTCCCTTTGATTGATAGAAACACCAGTGGCAGTCGAGCTTGAACTAGTTCCGTAACATCCCCTTATCATCGCCCTCATCTCCTTCGTCATTCCTCTCAATACGATCACGGGGTAGGCAGATTGCTTACTTCCCTTTCTGACAAAGGATATCGAGTCGTGAGTAGAGAGGAGGTAACAGTTCTATTATTAGTCTTTCCCGTAAACATGAGCATCTCTTATCGCGATGGAATAGGATTTTCAGGAGCAGAATTAGCTAAAGGCTTTCACGAAACATGCGAATGTCAGTTATGTCTGTCTCGCTCGTGTTCACTCAAATCTCTCAATATCCAGAATTTAAATCCATGATGCTGCTCGATCTGTTCAGTCATCGAAGTCACAGGTGTTCGTCTTGTGGAATCGCTTGTCGCCCTAGTGAGCTATCTGCGCAAAAGGGCAAGGACAACAAGAGATAAGGCCAGGAAATATGGTGGGGACGGGAGGAGATGGGGGAGGTTTATGGGAACCTTGAATTATTCAGCAGGGAAAACCAGTTTCATCCAATCTCTTTTCCGTGCTCCTTCTGGTTCGTTTATTGCCCTTGACACTCAATAGCATGCAAGGCAAACAACGCATCGGAAGATTAACTTTCCTGAGGGCTGTCGAAAGCTCATTCTCATGAGTTCCATTCTCGCACCCCTGCTATTCATTCCTGCGTTCCCCGTAGACTCAAGCATGCATTGCAATTCGCTCCATCGTTCATGCTAATGCGTGGTTGCTTTCGAAGTGATCTTATCCAAGCCGAGTCTCAGATATATAAGAGATGGGAACCAAACGACGTTGCTCATGTATTGATCCATAACAGTCTCATCCGTGACGTCAGTATAAGAAAAAAAGTGAGAGGAGAAAGTATGGGAGTTCCCGCTTACCGGTCTGCGTCAGTCAGGCTCCAGCCTTTGAAGAAGGAAAAAGTTGGACATCCTATGAATAGATATCCATTTACCCTGAGTTTGATTGAGGGGAGCATGAGAAAGGGAAAAGCCAGACGAAAAGAAAAGGATCAAGGAAGGACAGGGCGGAGATTGATTGCCCCGTATAGGAAGCCAGGCAACTCGTTTCCCTCTCGCCAGGTGGGGAAAAAGGAGAGCAAGGCTTTTCCTTCTCAATCCATTAAGGACCTTTTGCTTCGTGAGATTTATCTGGATCGTACAGTACCAAGATCCTTTCTGTAGAAGAGATGACAAAAATTGTCTCCATCAATGTTTCTGCATAGGTGAGTTGGCGGAGGTTATTCCAAAAATACTCCTTTTTCGTTAACAAAATTCCCTCCATTCGTGTGCCTACTCCAGGTAGTAATAATCTTAGATTCGTTTGATAGCTTGTCAAAACATTTTGCCAGGAAAACTACAAAGCTTTGAAGTAAATATAGCTTTTCAATGGCTTTAAATTGGTTGTGGTCACGGCACAGGATAAAGAGCAATAAGAGGGAAAACTGGAACATTACCACTTTGAAATGGCATACAGTAGAGAAAGGGCAGTTCCATCTCGGAAGCGATTATAGGAATGGATCCATCGTCCCAATAGGGCGCCTCCGAAGTAGACTTGCCCGCTAGAAAGGGAGGAAAGAGTGAGAGGCCGGCATGACAGGCTGTGCATTTTCCTTCTTACGAATTGCAATGCACGTCTCTCGCCTCACTGACGTTCCTTTCAATTTTGCGCATATGACCCACTCCACTATGCAATGATGCACGCTACATCGAGGAGGCGGAAGCTCATGGGATAAATGGAAATTCCTTCTGTAATAGATGTTTTTATACATTACATGAAAATTAAACAAGCACAAAGTTGGCTTAGTGTAGGGTTGACTTAACCCGGTTGTGGTAGGGTGCACATCTGAAAATGTTTCACTGCGAAGGTCAAATTCAAAGTTATTGCAGCAGGTTAAAAAAAAAAACTCTCTGAAATCCTGCTTTTTTCACCTGAGACACGTCAGAAAAAAATGTTCTTCTGAACTGGTATGTTTGAAATTGCAAGATCCTCATGTCATACAACAGAATGGCACCCCAGCTTATTATGATATCGTTTTTTGGCATGATTCAACGAAACCTTCCATGGCAGGTGGAGTGGGAAAGGATTATTCTGATTGAGTGGCTTCTCATTCCCTAACTTTTATTCGCTAAATTTCTTCCTCTGGGGCCTTCAGGTGTATGTTACAGTTCCCCAAGACATCAATGAAGTAAAAAATTCGCATTTAATTTTCAGATATATATTTGAGAGGAACTGTCAGTAATGAATCAGAAAGTCAAAGAAAAGCAACAGAAATTCGGGGGGGAAAGGACCAGTCTATATCTTCTTTCAATTTTTGTACAAAAGCGTTAATGTGGGAATTATTTTCAAAATGTTTTAAATGGCAACATTTTTGAAATTTTCCTGAGCACCCGATTATTATTAGCATTCTGAACACAAAAAGTACCCTTTATATGCGCTCGAAGTTACTGCCAAGTTTAGTTTTTTTTTGTACATTGAATTGTTAGGATAATTGCATTTTTTTTAAAGCTGAAAAAGCGACTTCATGATTTCATATATTAGGTTTTTCTGGAAAAAGAAGAAGCTATTCCGCTTTGAAAAATGTATGCAGAAAGTACACGTTGAATCGAAGCCCTACAAATGCAATCAACTCGTGGCAAAGCCTTGGCAAGTGCATAATAACGCAAAAAGTACAATATGGGTATTTCTCATTATGTGCAAATGCTAATTTATCGCAGTCTCTTTTTCTGCGGCTCTGATGTCTCATGAATAATGCAGTGATGACTAATCGGGTCTATATGAGTTCTCTCGCGACAGTTGTGATCGATCGATAGTCGAGAAGACTGCAACCCGGAATTTCTACCCTCCCACTATGAATTACCGGTATGCAGCACATGATCGACTGGCCACTGATTACGCGTCCGAGACAGATCTCAAGTTTATGCTCTCTTTGACTTTGGAGATATAAAAATGAATTATTGTGAGGGAAACCGTGATGGGAAAAAAGAGTAATGTCCTCTGAAACCAACTTCTAAGAGAAAAAATGATTACTTTCTCTCAACATGTAGAAGAGGAAAATCCTGGTGTTTGTCAGAATGAAAATGAGCATTGCGAAATCCGTGATCCTTATTTAGAGTACTGCAGAAAGGAATCCGGATTTTCGAAATTGAGGGAAAATTCCTGGAACTGCCGTTTCCTGATTGAGACCTCACATTTCAAGGAGACGATTGCATCCTTCGGTCTCCAATTGGTTGTATTTTCACATTAAACTATATATGAAAGTCTGGCTCCTGTCTCAGAAGGAACCACAGCAGGCGTACGACACGAGTTAATTTATCGCTTGCATAAGTTTCCTTCCCTTTTTTATTAAACATCTTGCTCTTGTGTTCTTGCTGACAGGAAGAGAGGAAGACCATTGTCACGGGTGAATCTTCTCATAGCCCACTTGAGCACGGCGGATCTAATCGTGACATTCATCATGATTCCCATTGAGGTACTCCCATATTCTTTATCAAAGTATGCATGGACGGAAAGGCCCTTCTGCTTTGCGTGTTCTGCTGGTTCGGAGTCACGCAGGAGACAAGCATGACTCCTGCCTAGATCGATCTCATTTATACTTCTCGTGAGCCCGGAAAGATCTCATGACGTAGCTTGTCACGCTGATTCAATTCATACTTTCCATTGGTCGCTCGGAAGAAGAGGTGCATGTTATTGAGCGTGTGACGCTTGCGACCGTGGCAACGGATTACTTGTTTCCGGTGGTTTTCTTCATGGGAGATGTATCCGTACCTGCGGAATGAGCCGATTAATTCATTTATCGCATTTCTTCGTCATTCTTATTCGTTCTAAAGAGATCTCTCATGCTCTTAGTCGCACTATGTCTTTCTTTCTTCTTTACATAATGCATGAATTCATTATGCTGTTCTACTCCCCGTGCCTATTCATTAATACTTAAGGAGTATCGATCAGGTCTGTTGAATAATTACTAGTTTCGCGATAGGCTCGGTAACTGGATCTCAGTGTCGATTAGTTTTACGGATATTTATGAAGAGTAATCGGAAGTGTAACAATGGGAAGAGAGGAGAGTAAAAAACAAGTTCCCTATTTTTAGAAACGGGAACCAAGGAGTTGTGGGATTCAAAGATTTTGGTGTCAGTGTCTCATCATTATGTTTTTCCTTACTGACTCGATTCCTAGGTCACAATTTTTGTAATTCAATTTCTCTGAAGTCTTGGGAATGAAAGGGGGTTGGGAGGAGCCAGAACGGAAGCATTTCCCGCTCTACGTGCGCGAGAAATAAACATCTCGATTGATTCCTGCCATTGATTGTCCCGATCGGCTAGAAACTCTCGTTCGAACCCTTGAACTTCCACGGAGACGATCACAAGCAAGAAGCGAAGAGGAAAATTGTGAGAATGGAATCACAGATGCTCCCAAATGAAAGAGACCCCGAATGATCCGAGATTAAGAGGAGAGATCAGAGAACGACATGAGTGATGCTGCGGTTCGAGAGCGAGACCTCAAGTCCATTTTCCCAAATCGATCTCGACCCTGCTGATCCCGACGATGCAAGGAAACCGGGATTCCAAACGCCCTTATCCGAGCTCACAAGGATATCCGGGGAATACATCGAAGGGACGAGAACCGGAATATTGACGAGAAGCCGCTGACTTACTGGAGGGGGAACTCCAATCGATCCCTACGATTGGCTAATCAAGCCAGGATGTATATTTTACCTTCGGGGATTTCTGCCATGACTCAGCGCTTGTTTTCGACCGCTGGGAACGCTATGAATGCCAAACTATCTTGTCTCCAAACGAGTACGACTGCCCTTTTGGAAAAGAATGGGAGGTAGAACGAATCTGAATGCTTAAAAAACGTTTTCATGCTGAAAGAAAAGCTCATGCTGCTATTTTAAGAACGGCTAAACCGGCTTACCGACCCAATTAAGGGCGGTGAACCGGTTCTGAAAAAAGCCTAAAATCGACAATCTCAGTATTGATTCTGTCAAATTGAATGCGCCTGCATATAAATATGCGATTCATCTCTCAAGCCTTTTTCTTGCATGTATAGGCGATTGGATTCCGGAACCAAATTAGAAAAAGTCGACCATCCACGTATACGATAGGTGACCAATGAGTGCTCGGCCAGACCAAGGACATTGGACTTTGAAGGATATTGGTTTTTCATTCAGGGTCATCATAAATCAATAGAATTAGAATCGGTTCAACGCAGACCCAGCGAACTTTTTATTCATGGCTTATTAACGAGGATGAACCCGGGCTTCATCACCGGAACCCAGAAAATCGGACCAGCAGTCGGTGATGTGAAAGGGGAAAAAGGCTTTCCGGGAAATTTCCGATTCAGACCTCATCTCGCAAAATGATGGCGATGATTATCTGAGATATTACGGAGGTCATTCGTATCGGCTCCGTGTCCCCTGATGGTACAATCATGAGTCAGTACTGGGTTGCATTACTGAGGAGATTGCGCGATCTATCAAGGAGAAACGTCGAAAAAAAAATTGACAAAAAAAAACAAGTCCTCTTATTCCATAATAACGTGCCAGCTCAGACAGCCGATGTTTCATGGGTCGCCCTTCATGACCCCGGATCTGAACAGTTGTTGCACCCACGCCATTCATCCGACCTGGCACCAAATGACTTTTACGTGTTTCGACATAAGAAGGAACATCTGTGGTGAAGCGCGAAACTGAAGGCGGCTCTACGGATAAATGTGCAAAGGGGAGACGATGGGAGAAGTGCATTATTAGTAAAAGCGACAGGGATGAAATATCATAACAGAACTGTTAGAAAATAATCAAGTCATGGTCAGGCCGAGAACTCATCGGCCACCTCTCGTATTTACTTGAGGTCCAAAAATGTACCCTACTGTAAAAACACTTCCCTTGAATCCTAAAGCCCGAACGGTGTGCTGGATCGCAAATGAAATCGTCAGGAATGTCACTCATGACCCACTGACCAAAACTTCTGATTGTGACTGGTGCGCGCAACCATGATACGTTCAGTGACGAAATCTGTGAACAGCTCCCAAATCTTGGACAAGTTCATGGCACCCCTGTTAAAATACAGAAGTTCTTATTTACGTGAATCTTAGAAGACGTTTGGATAGCAGGAGAATTCGTCTGGATATCAGCAATATCACATGTACGGTCTTTCCTCAATCTCCTCCCCATTTACTGTAATCTAACATATTCTCGATTGGATTTAGATCGGGTGATTGTACAGGTCGTGATGATTGATACACTTCTGAGTGATTATTAATATGGTCCTATGTTGATTTTACTTATTATTACTTATTATTACTGATTTTACGATATTACTTTCAGTTTCTTTACAGGAGAGCATCCTATTCATCACCTACTTCTGGGGGGGGGGGAGAATTAAAATTGAGGTGCACCGTTTACTGTAATTGGCTTTGTTACTACCTTTTGTTTGCTCTAGAGTGAAAATTATGAATTTATTTTCTTACTAAATTAGGAAAATATATTCACGATGGTCTGGGTATTTGGAGTCCAGAATCCATGGAGTTTGGAACATTTGCAAACTTTAAGTACATTGCATCCAGAAGATAAAATTCTTGCCACAAAACCCACAGCTTTGTGGGTTCCACGAAATGAGGTCCTCCATCGTTCTCGAGATGTTTTACTTTGACTCACAACTCTCCCTGAAAGCGAGGAAGGTAATGCGAGTCATTCTCGTCAAAGTGATATATTCCGGCCAAAGCGTCATTTATTTAATAGAACCTCCCACTCATGACATCGAATCGCCCATTAGGGAGTTGCTCCCCAAATGAGCCTCCTTTCTTCTTTCTCTTTCAATTCCTTCACCTTCGCTCTCTTATGCATGCTCTTACGTATACTGCTCTGGTCTGTATTTTTCCTTGTTCGAAATGGATTCCGTGAATTCAACTCGATAGAGCAGGGAGTATAAATTATTTGAGAATGCTGGCTTGTTCACTGTAATGACGGGAATGGGAATTTCAAGACATGAAGCAACTTTGAATCGCCTCTCAGATCGATAGCAAAGATCCCTTTTCTCTTGCAGACGGCCTGGGCCATCACGGTGTCTTGGAGAGCGGGAGACGTCATGTGCCGCCTGAGTGCTTTCTGTCGCGCGTACGGAATCTACGTCTCGGGTTTCATCATCACCAGCATCAGCCTAGACCGATACTTCGCCATCATGAAACCATTGACGGTGGCAGACGCATCGTCGAGAACGTGGCGAATGATCGCATTCTCCTGGCTTGCTTCCGCCGTCTTCTCTGCTCCCCAGGCGAGTCTCCAAGCGTCCATATCTATCCCCACGTCATCAAGATTGATAGCGGGAATTCCCATAAAGATCGTTCACCGACTCGGAGCCCATACTCTAGCTCATGGGTTTCCTTTTTTTATGAGATGAAATTCTCCCTGAATATCGACTCGGGCCCGAGGACCCTGCTCCCTGGAAAGCTTCACGCCTTTTTGCACCCTCGCCTCTCTTTGCCTTTCGAGCCATCACCCAACCGTATTATGTTCTGGATAAATTTCCAATAAGAAAATTGAGCACATTCCACCCTTTGCAGTAAGACCTTTAGCCCCCTTCCGGCCCTGACCCGAATTTTCAGAGATCATCATGCTAAATGATTGATCTAATTTAGCTTCTGTAATCGGGTGGTTCTTTGAGGTTGAATGACTACTAGCCCAAGTAATAGTTTGCAAAATGCAAAAGTTTAAGCGCGTCATATTGCAAAAAAAATACAGCTTCTACGATGTATCTGTGCAACCTATCCGGTCCAATCTTGCTACGCAGGCATGGCCTCTTTTAAGATAGCTCATTAATCAGGTGGTGTCTCACGCTTGTCAATAACTTGGAAAGGGGCTCCGAGCCGAGGCCATCAGCGGGATCTAAGACGGCTATGTTCTGCATAGAAGTCCGAGTAAAAAAGAAACATGCAACGGAGTTACATGCTTCTTTTCACTTGCGACTCGGACTCCATTCACACGTGAAACCCTCCATTCATTTGTGACGTTCCGAAAAATAATGATCCGAATTAGACCCTTTAGATGGTTGTACGTCTTCAAAGCAATTTCCGGCACTAGAGCAAACATTTGAAATGGTTTTAAACTCACTTCCAAAACTATTTCATATTACAAGGCATGAGAACCACTCGGTAGCTCTTGAACTATTCAATATTAAGAAAGGGACTCGACACGAGTCAACGTTTTGTGCTATCTAGAGCGATTTTCCATTATCCTTGCTTAATGTTTACTCGTAAGGAGTGATCGTGCGAATGTCCTAGACCTGGGGTCGGCAACCTTTCCCTAATTGCGGGCGGGATCCGACCCGTGGGTCGTAGGTTGCCAACCCTTGTCCTAGATGATAGCATCGATTATTCGCCTTTTCAACGCCTCGAGATTATCGTAGTTCCTGGAATCAAACAGTTTCTGCTCGTGTTTGCTCGGTTCCACGAAAATGGTTCGATAAAAATTTCATTGTAGAACCGAAAACTTTTTTTTTTAGAGAGCAGCCCACATGCTTCTCGCGAAGGGAGGAAAGGCGAAGACGCCCTTCTTCCTTATCGGAGAGGAAGACGGATGACATGGAATGACCCCTTTGAGGATTAAAAGTGTAGCAAGGTTAGGACGGATCGACGTTATCTGAATGGGCGTTGCACAAGCATTAGTATGTACATATGCAGAAGTAAAAAAAAATTGGACGAGTCTATTCAGTGGAAACGAAGTTGCCAATGGTCGATGCTGCGCTCCTTCCTGGATGATTCTTTCAGCTTTGTTTGCAATGTTTTGAAAAGTTTCAGGCTCAACGTTCGGCCTTTGACGGAAAAACAACAGAAGATAGTAGAAGGCTTCGATTGCCTGAACGAGCAGAATTCTGGAACCCAGATCCTTGAGATCCTGAAAAGATTAAGACTGACTAACAGCTCCCTTACTTCCCACAGCCACACCCATAAGTGGGTGGAACGTGCTAAATTTAGATATGAGATGAGATTTTCCAGGATTGCACCAAATAAAGTAGCTCTGATGTGTGCAACAGATTTAAATATCGTAATGCGGAACTGTTTTGTTCATTCGAACGAAAAATTGACTTAATAAAACTGAACAATCCATTATACAGAACTGCATGATAGCGAAACTTAATATAAAAAAGGCCTTCAGGAGGAATATTAGAAACTGAAGCATGAAGCCGATGAAAAAGTCGAAACAGGTAAAAAAAAAGAAGAGGAATACAACCTGGTGCATAACCGTGAGAAGCTTTCATTGGGACGTACCCGGAAAGTATTAATAATAATCTAGAGCAGCGTTTCTCAACCGGGGGTCTGTGGCTCCAGGGGGTCTGCGAGACAATGCCCAGACCGAAAGCAAATAACGGTCGAAATGAAAAGCTAAAATGAAAAAAGCTGCCCACCTTTCAGTCAACTTTTAAAATTTTATTTTTAAAAAATTTTGAACGAACTTTAGAAACATACAAATGTACGCAATGGCAAACTGCGCAGTTCCCCTCCATTCCGAAAGGGATCTGCAGTTTAGAGAAGGTTGCGAGACATTGATGTAGATTCTACAGGAGGTCGATAGTTCCCTATTCCTCTTTAATATAACTTCACAATGCTCTGTGGATGTGAATTTCACGATGGGTTCGGAAAAATGAAGCCCTCTAATTTGATTTTCCCACTTCTACATGAGCGCAGCATCGTAGAAGTAAGGAAATGATGAAATGATGATGATACTATTTTAGGGAAGCACCTTCAATTGCAGAGCAATAATTTAGTAGTAGAACTCAGTAATCGAAGCTCTCTTCTTCTCTGATCTGGTTACTACTTTTGGATGGTCACGCGAGTTCCACTCGTCCGAGCCTCCTGATACGCCGTGTGGATTGAAAACAAGAAAAACGTCGCAGCTGTTGATCCCGAGGGATCGATTAACACAATAGAAGAGACTTGGGAGATCATTCTACGAGGTTACGGACTTGTTGCTTGTGCTCTTCCCGCTCTATCGATTTCTCTTTGCTTTTATTCTCTTTCCTCGAGTCGTTCCTCGGCCACCGTCGAAATTATAAAGGCATTCGAGGAATCTCTCTTCTCGTCGAGATGAATGTTGGCTTCATTCCTCGAGGGTGAAAGACACCCTAGGCCCGAAGATGGGCGAGTGCCAAGAATCTTTCCATCGGGAGGAATGGATGAGCATTGAGGGATGCCATCGAGACACTTTATGAGAACCGATGGAAATTCCTGGCGTTCCATCAAGTACAATGGATGTGACCTGCAACCCGAAGGAAGGGACTTGCGGGATAAGGGCATGATTGTAGAAGGGCGAGGCAGGCTTATATTGCATAAGGGAGCAGAGAATAGGAGTAAGGCTGTTTTCCCCCAGATCCCCCTGAGACGGTGCCAGGCGGAAAATCCAAATCTTTTTTTCTCTCCTTCAGCCACTTTTGTCTCCGGTGCACGTCTCACCGGAGATCCTGCAGACTGTACACTGAAAAGGAGACATTCTCTTCGGAGCCTCCTATCCCTCACGCTTGATTGACTTATTGTTGCTGTCAACGCCTGCCTGGAAGTGTAAATGCGATTTGGGAAGCCATCCACACACCAGTTGCAGTTAAAGCATTACTTGCTTACTATAAAATTCCTCGAATAATCTTTAAGGCAACGAGCTAAAATAAGCTCAACATGCAAAAGGTAGTATCGATCCTCTTCTGTGAAGCAATCAATCCTGATTAAGCCCAGGCTCATAATCAGTGAGGGCTCGAAGCCAAGAAAATAGGGTAGGGAGGGTTTGAAACTGGATAGGGATTGGCTTCCCTGCCAATCGTGGTGGGGGTCGCCCCAGCTTATTAAATGAATGAAGTTCCTTCTTTCTCCTCTGTCCTCTGGTAGTTTCAGTTGCATCACGTTTCTAATGTTTCTAACTTGATGACAGATGGCGGTCTTTCACGTGGAACACCATCCGAACTACACGTGGTTCGAGCAATGCGTCGCTTTCAACTTCTTCCCAACGCGGGAGCTGGAGATTTTCTATAATCTGGTCTGCATGGCAGTCATGGTCGGGGTACCTCTGTTCAGCATGGCCATCTGCTACGGAGCTATCCTCGTTCGTCTCTACAAGAGATCACGTGATGGCATCACTGGAGGTAGGAGGATAAAAAAAAGCAGCCTCACGCCATGCAATCATATGCCTAGAAGTTATATCGTCTCCGCCACCGAGCATCCGCACGCGATCTAAAGCTAAACGGTTTCCTTTTTTAGCATGGCCTGCGAGCGTCTCACTGTCATCTTTGGCTTAATATCGACCATGCAAAGTGCATTATAGTGGTGCGCTTTTTCATTTCTTTTCCATGACAGAGGATAGCGGATCTCAAGAGAGAGTTGCGGGAATCATCGGAAGAGCGAAAATCAAAACTTTGAAAATGACCGTCCTCTTGGTGCTAACCTTCTTCTTCTGCTGGACCCCCTACAACATCATGACCATCTGGTACGGTGCATCTTTAAGATGAAGATTGAAAAATTGTCAAAAACAAAGTCCCAAAAACAATTTTTAAAGCACTGAAGCTGAACATTTTATGCTCCCTCAGATATTCAGATTCATTTCCAACACAAAAAATCTGAGTTTCACAGGGTAAAGGAAGCGGCGTTTACGGCAATAACAGAGTCCGAACCTTTTCCGAATCTTAAAACTCAATTTGCTGGAAACCAACCATCTGCGTCTTTAACTTTTTTCCGGCAAACCTTAATTTTGACTTCGGGAAGCTGAGGTGGAAGGCAGCGGAGTGAGGTGCAAAACAAATTACCTTAAATTTCCGCACTCCCCTCCCGTCCGTCAGTGATCACTCCGACCCTCCTCCCACCCAAGAGAGAATTTTTATCTATTCAATACATCCGCGTGATGAAGTGAATCCTGTCGTTGGTGAACGAACAGTCAAAATGAGAAATGACATTAGTCATTACGCTAGGGTGGACGATTGAGACACTGTAATGACTCAAAGACTTTTCTATAGTCATCAGTGGAGGCTAGGAAATGTTTAAATTTCGATTACAATCCTAATTAGAAGCGTCATGCTGTCATATTTCATTTTCTGACAGGTTTGCTAATTCCATCTTCAGACAGGGTTAACTTTCCATCTGAGGCTTTGGCAGTTTACGGCCTGCAAATTCATGAATTTACGCCACAGCAAAATCTCCATGCCATATGATTAAGTCAGATCACAAACTGAGTTAAACATGGGAAAACTTCAGGGATGGGAGAGATATAGCAATAAAGATGGAACATGCACTCAAATTCCCCATTGCCATACAGCCTTGATCCCATATAGTGTCCCGATTGACACAGGACAGCAGCATTGAAATAAATAGAGCAAAGGAAATATTAGCATTATCAATCAAAGAATTACGGTCGTCTTCGTGCATTAAAGCTATCTCTTCTCTCTCATCGATCGCGTATTACTTGTCATATCCAATATTTCACATTGCCTTCAAAAATGAAAAGCTGTTAATGACCTGTGACTTATGGGAAGCCCCCCCCCCCCCTGCCCTCCTCATTACGTCTCATCTGCAGTGACACTTTTCTGATGGATGGCTATTATCCTCTGAACCTTTGTCGGCCTACTCAAGGATCCAGGACTCTGATCCCTTTCGATCATTTTGCGCCCAATTGGGACTTGCAAGTAAATTCTTTTTTTTTTATCCATTGACAAATACTGTACGCATACATTTATTCACAGTACACTTGTACTGAAGCACAGGATCCTCCCAAACATAATGGTAAATAATATACCAAACCAACTCGATTGTGACCCTTAGACTGCTTGAGACAAGCCATCCTGCATCCCAGAGGTTCTCACATTTTTTTGCACGCGCCTCCCTTGCGACTCTGACTTAGCCTTGCGCCCCTCTTTTCTTCTGATTAGAAAACAGGGAAACCTATGGATTCGGCCACCTTGATACTACGACCACCTCTTATTTGCAGCCAGCAGCGCTTAGTCCCAATCGTTAGCCCAACAGGCTCATTGTTAAATTAAAAAAACTGCTTTACCCGGCCACCTGTCTAACGCGGCCAGCAGCCAAGGACGTGTAGACCTGTGATGGCCCCTTTTTCATCCGACCGAAGAAGGAAAGAAGACCGCAGGTTCATTTTCTTCCTCTCTTTTTTTTTTTTACTACCCTGCCTTGCAGCTTCCCTCCTTTCTTTCCTTTTTTTCTTCCTTCTCGCCTCACTTTCCCCTCCTCCTCCCCAATCCCCGAATAGACCCCTCGCTTCGTTGTCAAGGTCACATCTACAGAGTTTCGATAGTGAAAGAACGATCATCAGTGTCGACCTGCGGCTAGTTCTTTCGTGTATCTGGCTCCCTTTCTTAAAAGCCATCCAGTGCTATGGAGAAGAGTAAGTGCTTTTTAGCAGAGAAGGGGAAGCACGAAGCGATCACGAAGCTCGAAGCGTCTCTCCAGGAGCGAGTGTGCGAACGCAATATGGGCACGATTCAAACAGACATTCAAGACTTCCTCACAATGAAATAATGGTCTCCAAATTCTCTCAGTGTATATAGTATATAATTAAAATCTGGCAAAAGCAGAGGTACAGTACCTTTGAGTATACAGTGTGTTTAATTTTCCTTGAAAACTGTTTGATAAGTGCCTAAAGGAAAATGCACGGGAAGGGGGGAGAATTCCCTTCTTTATAGCAGTCACCTGTCAGAACCGGCCAAATTAGAAAGTCTCCCATATGGCCGTATTACACAAGGTTTCACTGTACCAGGACACAGGCCTGGAACCGTATGTTAATGGAGCCTGCCTGCATGAAATTGAGTCTCAAAAAAGGGGACCAGCGTATTTTCTTAAATGTTTTCATCTGATATCGTTCAAGGCTCATGCTTTTCTGCACATACCATCTCAGATGAAACTGAAATATTCCTGCCAACTGTAAAATAATTTCATTCAGTGCTTCGAGTGCAATATCTTTCCGAAGTTGAAGGCACGGAAAATCATAGAGAATGAGCTGTTTCTTGCCAGGTGCAACCCTTAAGCGCATTCCAAAATGACAGCACAGGCGGCAGGCAGTCTCACCAATGAAATTTGTTTCGATAAACTTATTTTATTATGCTCATCATTCCATGAATTTGAGGTTCATGACAAAGAGCCAATTCTTCTACAGCCTGGATATTTTCCGCAGTTCGGGCTGTATGCGGCCTGCCGCTTCTACATGTCGTGCCGGTCGATACAGTTTCAGCAATTTTTTTTTATACAACTTGTCAAGACGTGCACGGAAATATAATAAAAAAAGCGAAGTGGCGCTCCTTTTTTGAGACACTGACTAATCGTCATGCAATGAATAAAAAAAAATATAAGGAAAAGGATTGCAGCTCCCCAAACTCCGGCTCAGAGCTACCAATCGGGTGACGAGATCCCTTCATATCAAATCTTGATAGTGTAAATAAATACGCAATGCTCATTTTCAACGTGCAGATTGCGCCAATATTCCATCTTCATTGCATCTCATGCAGAAAACTCGGTTTCGCACAGAAGAGGCTATTTGGGAGAGAATTTCCGTATCATTGGCAGAGAGCTGCTGATATTCCTCTTCGATGCTAAGCCTAAGGCTCGGCAGGGATTTTCACGCTACCTTAGGGTACAGCCACATGAGATGATCCTATGATATTATTATTATGTTTTGTCTCGGGAGATTTTACTTGGCCTGGGGAACCTCTTTTGAGGTTTTTCTGTCTCTATTGCGTCTCTCTGTCGTTCCAAACGTTCATAGAAAACGATGCTCCAATCCTGAATCGGGATGCAGGCTTGAGAAAACGTTGAAGCTGGGTTGAAGTGGACCCCCGAAATGAGAGAGTGGGTCGTGGAAAAGCGAATTCCCATTGATTTCTAAGCCTGCGCTGGGGGATCACTAACTTAGTTTTGTATTTCTGGATAAAGACAAGAATAGCTCAGAGATGCATTCCCGGAAAAAAGCGGCAGAATTGTCAACCTCTTCCCCGAATTCAACTTGACTCTGCAGAGGGTGAACATAAAAAAAAATTTAACTGAGAATAAAAGAGTAAAGCTAAATGATTTTTTTATGGAAATAAATTGTGGAACAGAAAAGGTAAAAGTCAATGCCCTTTAATTTCTCCATGGGACAATTTCAGAGCAGTTTTGTATTCGTTCTATTCATGCCGAGAAAAGAGATGGCAGATATGATTATAAGAAGTCTCTCTCGTTCCTTCATTTTTCTCCCTCCTCTCTCGCGCTTGTCTGGACGCGAATTCCCCGAGGGAGAATTGTAATGAGAGGTTACTTCTGAATGAACTCGCTCTCTGAATGTTGAGGGAAAAAAGCAAACTCCGTTCGGCTTCGCTCTCTGGTTTTGTCCTTTTTCTCCTCTCTCACGCTCTCTCCCTAATGTGGAGACAAGGGGCTAATGCTCATCCTCTGCACTTCCCGGCGAGAAAGGAGGATTTTCTCTCCCTTTCGAGAGGTCACAATCGAGTTGGCTTGGTATAGTGACTGTATTTTTTCAGTCTGCGCAACAATATTGACACAACTTTGATAATTGATCGAAGATGTTGATGTTTACGCTGAAGTTTACGTTCCATTACGGGGTCAATATAGCTTCATGATGAAAACGTCCATCTAGGAATAACTTGCTCCATTTGCGATTTAGCTCTTCGAGAGCTGAGCAGTTCCTAAGTTCCTGACACAACACCAGACCCAAAATGAAAACATTATTATGATACACCTTGAAAACGGTTTGGTCCAGAAATTCTATTTCAACAGTGCCTTATTGATATCTGCACCTCTTTCAGTCATCATTTCTCCCATGGATGAAGTAAAGCCAGACCATACATTTCGCATTACTGACGTGTTCGGTCTCGTTCCCTGTATGTGTGGGACTTCGTCAGGGTTGCGTTCTCTTTCCTTTCCTGTTCCTCGGGTACATGGATAGAATCTGTAGGCTTGGCTTGGACCTCGAGGTACCTGTGCAGCATCCCTGGTATCGAGGTGTCGATACTTCTCTCTCCGATGATGCTGTCTTTCCGGCCCGGTCTCTACAAGAGCTTCAGTGCGTACGAGATGGGTTCGACTCAGAATGCACAGCGCCCGAAATGAAATAGAGCGTCCCCATAACACAGTTTATGGTCCTCTGGAGAATCCCTGTAGGGTGTGTCTGATATGTTAAGGGGGGCCCCACTGGAACGGACGGAGTAGTCGAAGTACCTCGGGATCCGGTTCTCGAGCGACAGGCGATACGGAAACGAGATCGACGACCGCATCTCCGGAGCTTCCGCAGTTTTGCGGGAACTCCGGAGGACTGTGGGGACCAGATCTCAAATTCCCAAGGAGGCGAAAACTTCTGTTTTTAGGAGCACTTACTTCTCACCCTCAATTATGGCACAAACTGTGGGTTTCGAAAATGTACGTATGCATGCTCTTGAAATGGAGCAATTACGGAAATATTTCAATCGGCACAAAATAACATTTTCTCTGGTT